GCGTGACGGCCAGCCAGCGTGAAGGGCACGGCCTGGCGCCTGCGCACCGGGTTTTCTCCCTTGGGGCGGCCTCGCCTGTGCGCACCAGTGCTTAGGGTGCGCGGGGGTGTCTGCGTCCTCTGAACACCGAGGAGTCATCGATGCTGTGTTTTTAAAACTGCACCCCCCACGTCGACATTATCTTTAAAGATAAATTGACAAAGGCAAATCAGGCTGGGGGAGTGGGAGTTGATGAGAGCCCGGAGGTAACCACTCCGCGCACCCGGGGCTGAGAGAATTTTGCCTCCACGGAGAGCCTCCGCCCCCTACCATGGCTGGTTTCTGAAGAATTTCCTCAAATCCTGAACAGACGCACAGGCCCCTGGAGTAATTGCCCCTGGATGAGCACCCGAGTCGGCCCTGCTGCATTTTAGGTGCAGAGATAACGCATTTCTTGGCCCTTGATGCCTGCGGTCAGGAGCGCGCTGGAGGCCATTCCAGGGGTGGGGTGGGGGTGGGGGACCGATCTATATAAGTTATGACAGTTTGTAGCCAATATGGAGATTAATGAGCCATACAAAAATAAATTGCAAATCTTCATTTTGCTGAGAGGACATTTTTAGAGGATTGTAGCATTAATTACAAGATAAATTCAGAATTTGAGAAGCAGCATGATCTGGTGGAGCAAACACGAGCTTAGGAGTCATACGCGTGGCGGGAGGGTGATTCTTGACCTGCAGCTTCCAAGTGCATCCTCTTCGTGAACAGAGGGTTCCGAGGAGTGGGAAGGGAACCCTGAAAGCTGCCGGACCCCCAAAGGAAGCCCTCGGTTCTCTCTGCCTATTCCTTTCTGCTTCCACGTAAAATGCTCACGTGGCGGTCACCTGTCATCTTGCCTGTTTTATCATCCGTCCCTGGGCAATTTAACATCTTCAGATACCACTTGGCGTCTAAAATGGACAAACTCTAGAGTTAACCTAGCTCAAACCTCTGTTCCTAAATAAGGTTTTCATCCTGAAGGTTTTCCCAGGGTTCAAGTCTTGGGAAACCAGACATAAAATGCCCACTTAATATGTAATGGGTTCCTGTATATAACTTTTTAGTGACTTGAGTACATATCCTTTATGAAGGATTTTTCTCCGCGGAATAAGAGAATTTCTTCGGGGCCTCTTTGCTGTCTACAAATACTGGTTTGTACTTTGAGATTTAGTAAACATAGAATTAATAATCAAGGCGATTATTGAACTGGTTCACAGTAGACCTCCCTCACTGCTGTAAAGTAGTGTCTTGGTAATCATTTTACACATGGAAGTTTCTCTTACTGAAATCCTTGACTATTATTCGGAGAAGTGTTAGTGTTCTGCTTTTCTTTCCACTGGGAAGGAAGGGAAAGTTGATATAGAATGTTGGAGAGAAATTTTTTTCTGCCTGTCTGTGAGGTAAGCACTCTTTCACATATGTATCTAATTGGATTCTTAGAAGGTTTCAGGGTGGATATTGTTCCTCCCATCCCCATTTTATAGATGAAGAAATAGACTTAGAGGGATTAAATAATTTGTGTAGCTTCAGATGACTAGGAAATAAACAAGGTAGGATTCAAAGACATCAGTATGACTCCTAAGCTTGTGTTTGCTCCACCAGATCATGCTGCTTCTCAGATTCTGAATTTATCTTGTAATTAATGCTACAATCCTCTAAAAATGTCCTCTCAGCAAAATGAAGATTTGCAATTTATTTTTGTATGGCTCATTAATCTCCATATTGGCTACAAACTGTCATAACTTATATAGACAATAAAATAAAATTAGTTTTTATAAGGTAAAATATTTGTTCAGAAATATTATTTAATGCATAACCTTTGGACACAGAAAATAGGGTGCTGAGGACCTGGGGCAGGGGGCGGGGGCAGGCTGGAAGGGTCAAAGGGGGAAAAAAGAGGACATATGTAATACTTTCAACAACAGAGAATTTTTAAAAAGGAAAAAAAGCAACATCAATGATGAGAGAGAATCATTAATTGGCTACCTCCTGTGAGCCCCCTATTGGGGCATGTTCCCTGACCAGGAATAGAACTGTGACTTCCTGATTCATGGGTCGACCCTCAACCACTGAGCCACACCAGCCAGGTTCAATTTACCATTTTTAAAGTATAGTATTTCTTGCCCAGTTGGCATGTCTCAGTGGTTGAACATCGACCTATGAACCGAGGAGTCATGGTTCCATTCCTGTTCAGGGCACATGCCCGGGTTTTGGGCTTGATTCCCCAGTGGGGGGCATGCAGGAGGCAGCCAATCAATGATTCTCCTTCATCATTGATGTTTCTATGTCTCTCTTCCTCTCCCTTCCTCTCTGAAATCAATAAAAAATACATTTTTAAAAAGAAATATTATTTAAAGTAGTACATGTATTAAATATATAATAAACATTCAGGTCATTTAAGTTAGTCACATCTTCAATGAAAGCCAGCTCTTAGATGCTGTGAATTGACCATTACTATACAGGCAGAATTGCCATAGTCTTTCCTGGCTAGAAAAATAATCAGATGGAGCATTGCCCAGTGCACTTTGCCCCCATTGTAGCAATTCAAGTGTACTCAGCATATGAAGCCAGCAAAACCCATTAGCTCCTAAAACCGACTTACCTGTCTTGGCAGATGAATGCCATCCAGGAGCTTTCAGACCTTACTTCTTATATCTGGGATTCTATTATTTTTTCATTATTATTTTCAAAGGAATTATCCTTTCTTTTTGAAAAGCACAGTGCCAAAGATTTTTTGACAGTCTTTTACAGTTATCACTTTAAATAACAACCACAAATAAAGCCTACAAAAAGTTTTCCAATAGTTAGTTAGAAGGTTGTTTATCTAAGTCAAAAGCAATTACAGAGAATTGCTATTTAAAAAAAAAAGTCTATTTGCTTCAACGACATATGCTAGGAACTCTACAACGGGTGGGAAAATAACATAAAGCATGTATTTCCCAGTTGAGTGTAATGTCATG